GGGGGGGGGGGGGGGGGGGGGGGGAAGAAGGAAAAAGTGTGATGAGAAACACTTTATCATGACAACAGAGGCACAATTGAGGGGTTTTATCACAAAAACTCACCTTGACAGGAAGTTCAGTGCCAAACTGATCCAAAAAGCCAATCACTTGTCCCTCTTTGATTACATCACCCTATGCATGTGAGAAAAGCAAACTAGAATTATGCATCCACGGTGATACTCCCACAAATAATGTGTCGGACAAGAGCTTAGTAATTTAAATAATATGCATAAACCGAGCAATGATACTCATTGTGATGGATAAACTATATGCACAAAAACATGCAACCTAAACGTCAAAGATGTAATTTAGCAGATAAATCACGTCAATTTGGTCTCATTGCGATTTTGGTATTAAATCACATAAATTTGGTATTAAATAAATTAGATCTTTTGGTACCAAATCGAGTTCATGAAGATTTTTAACTGTAGAAAAGTGGTGAAGAAGTGTACTTGGAGACCGAATTTGAATAGATGCAGGCATGGCATTAAAAATGTCGATTGAGGTGAGGGATTCAATTCTGACTAATATATACCAAAATTAAGTACAAATTAATATGCATACCTCTTTACAGCTAGGAGGTTGCTTCTTTCCTTTCAATGTTCTGCCCCTTCGGAACGAGCCAACCTGTGGGTAAAAGAAAAGTTGTTTTGGCTATTGAAATAAAAAGTGTTCCATACAAATAATATGCAAAAATGGATCATTAAACACTTACTATGGGAGATGATACTAGTACATATCCATTAGATCCAGAAGCCTCCAATGCTGCTAACTTTGCTGAATTCTCCACAGCGACGTTTGTAAATGGACTGATTTTTTGTGTAGAGGATTTTGGTGGTGACAGTGGTGGGGCAGCAGCAGCTGACTCAATCATTGGCTTACTTGGAATAGGTGGTGGCATTGTTGGAGAAACAACAGGTGTGGGAGCTGTTATGGCTCCGATGTTCCGCTTCATATGCATTTCAAAGTCTCCAACCTTTCACCAAATAATATATGCAAATTATAACCAGACCCGTCATTTGTTGATTACATAAGAAGTCATCATTCATTATTATTGATTCTTGGAGTGGAAATACTGTTACTTCCCAATTCCAGGCTCATCAACTGGGTAAAGAAATCTTTAACTCAAACCATCAGTGGTTGCAGACCCCATTTATTGTGACTCACATTATATTTGAGAGCCAATGAGATTGGTCAACAAGCCACACTAGAAACTAAATTAAACCATATTATATGTTCTTCTGGCTGAAGTCCTTAAGCATGCAGAAGCAGTGGTGCAACTTGGGCTTCAGTACTTGGACAGAGGTTTTCAATTCTCAATTTGATTCGGTTTGGGCAAAAAAAATCCCAACCTGAATTGAATTCGGACAATATTTGGTTTGGGTCTCAGGTTTTCAGAACACAACCTTATCCTGGAAGAATTCATGATTCCGGTTTCAACCTGAAATTAAGCATATTATGTATATGACCATGATTAGGGCACTCTATCTATTTCTCTCATCCCATTCCTCTCAGGCGTTTCCTCCTCTCCCTTACAAACTCATACTCTCAGCCAGTCACACTCTTCTCTCTCTGTCTCTCTTACATTGCATTGGTGCACCCTCCTCTCAGCCTCCACAAATCTCCTCCTATTGTCAACTGCATTCCTACACTTATTTTCTATAGGGGCAGAAACCATGGAAAAGGCTGTAAAAAAAACAAAAAAAGAGAGATTGAAGATTCATATCCCACTCTGTCACTTTCTTTGTCCTTTTTGCAAGGAAAATCATTGTCCATGAAGTTTAATATTATGTGAGAGATGGCTTGAAGGGAAGCAGGAGGGATATGGAAAGTTTCAATGAGCCACGTGCTCATAGTATCACCTATTGCAAGCAAACTACGAAGCACGGATACTTCTCAGTTTCGGACACGTGTCCGACACAGACATGGCCGGACAAGTGTCTGACACACGGCTAGAAGTGTCCTGAATAGTGAACTCAGTCGGACATGTCTACAATATGGCCATGACACGGTCAAGAATTTTTTTATTAAAAAAAATGACTTTTAACTATCAAAAAGAGTGTGATTTTTATTTTTTTAATATATTTTTTGTTATATAACTTATATAGTATGAATGTTAATAAATGCAATGATGTTTGATGAAAATAGTGGATATTTAATTTGATCTATTTTAATTTTAATCAAAAAAAAATAATATATACTAGGTATTATTATTAATATTTGTTATAATATATGCTTTTTTTTAATATATTACAACTCTACTATTATTTAAAAAATATTTTATATTATTTTAATAGCCGTATCCTTGCCGTACCCATGTCGCATATTTTTTAACTTTGTTGAATCTCTGTATCCGTATTGTATCGGA